AGTTAAAGATAGGATCTATAAATAGCCCCAGACTCTAGGAGCTATAATACTTACGTTAACTGACCTTATATTTTATAAATAGTCTTAATATTTAAGAAGCCTAATACTAGTACGATAGGCCTTCCTAAACTTCTGGTAATAGTTATAGTAGCTTATTTATAAACAAATTATGGGTTAGGATAGTATCAGTACGAGTTAGGGCACTTTATTAAAAGCTACTCGAAGTATCTATATTTGACTTTAATAGCTATTATTACCTACTATTAAGCGTAGCGGATAGTATATAGTAAGATTAAATCTAGGTCTAGCTCGTGTGGGGTCGAGCTTAGAAAAATAGAGTTGTTTATAAAGAGGAAGTAATATACTCGTTATAGTACTATCCCTTGCTAGTGTTTAGCTTATACTACGTACTAAACTAGTTATGGACTAAAGTAATCTGAGTAAATACTTTGGAGTATGATCCGTATATAATGTAAAATTAAAGAGCGCGATCGAAGCTAATAGAAGTCTGCGTTTCGCATTATAACTAGCCTCTAATTATCCTAACTATAGTGACGTAAAGAGAAGTAATATTTCTTATCGTAAGCCTGCCTTATTATGTATTACGAAATGCGTACTGCTTAAAATAGTTAATACGAAATTATAATTTGCTATAGTAGCTTATAGATAGAGCCCGGCGGTACGTTCGTATAGATTTTGTGGGAATATTCTTAAGAGTTTAGTACCTCGCTAGCTATTGTATACCTAAGTATTTACGCTCCGGGCTCGGAACTGTGATTAACGTTTACGTTATTAAACTGTAATCTCCTTTGCGGGCTTTATTATATATTTTAAATCTAGGATTCTAAGTTTAGCCGGGTTACTAGTATATAAGCTAGCTATATTGCTAAATAGGACTCTGCTCCTAGGTATTAAATAAAAAAGGCTAGCCTATTAAAAGCCGAATACCTAAAGATTAAGCGTAATACCCACTTTGCTTAAATATTATTTATCCTATTGAGTATTATAAGGCGATAATATATATAAATACGGGGGAATAGTAAATTAAACTATATTATTAATTTATTCCTATTATCTTTGCGAACTAAAAAATTCGTTTCTAAATAGATTTAAAAAAAAGCTAGAGACTAATATACTATCGCTTTTGTAGCACTCGATAGGATAGTAATTATCTTTTAAATTATTTGTTTAAAGTTTTACTCTCGCTACTATATATAGTTCCTAAGTATTAGATTATAGTAAGCGTAGGGAGGTAGCGTTATTAATGAGTATAATGCGTTAAAGCGCCCTTTTGGCGTAGGCGTTAACTTAGCCCTTACCTCGTACGGAATTAAGTCCTAGATCTGGTATAAGTACTTTTAGTAGCTATCTCGGTTAGTACTGTTCTAAATATTATTTATATCTTTATATACTAGTATGCGCTTTTTTATTAGTTGCTTATATAGATATTTATTAGTAGCCTGTTATGTACTTTAGAGGAATATAAGTTCGGACCTCTCTGTTTAGTACGGAAATGATATTATAATTAGTAACTTATAAAGTAGATTATACTATTACAATGTATTATAGCTAGGTAGTTACCCGAGGTTAGCGTTTTAATACGAACTAAGGTCCCCTTAGAATATAGTTCTTAACTATAGCGCAAAAGCTGCCCCGGTATTACGAAATATAGCTATTTAAGGACTATAATTAGAAAAGGGAGGGACGGGATAGGTGCGATTATAATAATAATATATCGTAGCTTTCGTAAACTACATACAAACGTTTATAATATTATTACTTAGGCTTTAAGCGAAAATTCTTAGTTCTAGGCGGTTATGGTTAGTAATATTATTTTCTATTTAGCTAAGGAGAAGATAGCTAATGAGAGCTTAATATCTGCCCTATAACTTCTTTAATAAGTACTTAATAGCCTACCTCCTCTTAATATGAGTGCTTATTAAGGTATGTCCTAATAAAACCTATAGCGCCTATAACTAGACCGTCCTAATTGTCGTAGATAATTATTTTTATTAATATTCTTACTACCGTTATTATAGTAGAGTTGCCTATTAGCTCTCTCTCTCTTAATAAATACTGGTTATATTACTTTTCTTACGATAACTATATAGAATTGCGAAATTCTGAGGATGAGTATTTAAATGCGGAGCTCGCTTCTATTTAATACTCTGTCGATAACGTTAAGCGGGAGTTAAAAGCTGATATTAAGGAGCTTAGAAATAATGTTATAGTCTAGATATAATACTTTAAAATTAAGATTTGCCGCTTTTAAGCTTTTACGCGGAATAATATTTTAAAGAATTTAACCCTCCCTATTTAACTTGTTGTTATGTATTGCCCTAGTGTTACGACCCAACACGCATGACAAGGCCAGGGCCTGCCCCACAGGACCTACGGCGGCTACCACACCATATATGCGGGAACACGAACTCAGGGCGACTCCTCTCGGGACGGAAGAACTATGGGACAAGTCACGTGACGATAAGAGATAAGGAACTCCGTACGTTCGAGATACGGGGTCCGTCCTTTCGATACGGAACCCGTATGTTTCAGAACACGGAACCGTTGGGTAAACATACGGACAAAGAATATGTTCAGGAACGAGACTTGTATATAGTGTGGACTTGAGCCGGGCACAAGGACAGACTTCCATAGCTTCTTCAGCAATCAACTTAGTATCAGATCTTACGATCGCTTTCCAGCTATCTTCACTGAGAACCCCTTCTGACAAGACTACGATTGATCACCGACCCTACCCACCTTACGATTTACAGACATAGCTTCAGGAAGCTATCACGACTTCGACACTGTTTACTTAGTTATCGCAGCCTCAACTTCTGCTAACATACTCACTACGACTAGCTGGCCGTAACACCTAGATATAGTATCGTCGAGCTAGAACCCTTATAATTTCCTCGAAATGCGAATAAGTTTTATTATTTAAGGGACCCCTAAACTAACCGGTACTGGTCTATACTAGCTTACTTTGCCGTTTTTTATGACGTTTAACTTAGAAGTATTAGTTATTTGCTTAAAGAGGAAGGTAATAGCGACGATAGTGACGATGACGAAATTATTTTCGAATACTCTGACTTAGTTATTGAGAAGTTAGAAGATATACTGGGCCTGAATGAAGATAAAATTATTAAGTTTAAGGAGAGGGCTTTGTAAATGGTATTACGACTATTATCGAAACTTATTAAACGCTTTTAAATATCCTAGCCTAAAAATGGACCTATTTCTGGTCTATATTAATAAAGACTTGAATTACGTATTATTGCTGGGTAAGAGCTATATTTTTACGATCCTGAACGTTTAAAAAGTGTTTTTTCTGAAAGCTTAACTAATGTACGTATTGGATAGGGTATACGTTTAACGCTTTTTTTATAACGGGTATGAATATAGTAGTTTCCTAAGTTGGCGGGCGTGTCCGAGCTACCTAAACCTAAACTAGAGCGACCGAAGTTTGTGTTTAAGAGTACTGAGGTCGAGTTAATAAATACTGATAACGATATATATATATTTATGAACTTATTAGAACGGTAACTTTAGAAGATATGGGCGGTAGAAACCAGTGGCCTATTAGCTAGGCGGATATTATACCCCCTAGGGTGATATATAGTTGTTGACTAAGTACTTTTTATGATTGAGCGTGAAATGGTAATGGTTAGGTCCGCGCGGGCTTTGGGTGTATGAACGGAGGTTTGCGAGTAGGTTTAGGATGTATATGAAAGGAGCCGGAAAGTGACTGAGCTATTTTTTTTATGATAAATAGCTTGGCCCTCGGCTTTTTGGTACCGCGGTTATGCTTAGGTATATACTGATATTCCCCCTTAGAGCTTCTCTGCATAGCACTTCCATTGGGATGGAGTGCTCCGATACGAGATAGGATGTTAACTAGCTTGACCTGGCTATTAAATGCAAACGGGTTTAATTCCTCCTAAATAGGAGTCCTAGTATATATTTATTGGCGATTTTTATTTGGTCTTATGTTTAGGATAGGTCGTATAGTATTTTAATCTGAAGTGAATAAATGTAATCTGGAGAAGCTTCTTCTTGAACCCTGTTACTTATAGCTAATTAGTAAAGTATCGTATCTTATAGTCTATTTATTTTTGTTGGCTCCTTAACGGCGGCGGATTACTTGACGTCCGATCTGTCGAAGGCTCTATGGGATAAAAAAACCGCCGAATCGCGTTTGTTTTTTTGAGCTATAGTATTACCGTTACGTATAGCCCTTTGTATGGCTCTCTGCGGCGTGTCCTCGTCTACGGCGTCTTGGACCCCGGTACGCGTAAGCACGTATCTATGGCACACGAGATCTGATACGCCTCCCTCTTCCTCCTCCGCAGCTTGCTCGAGGCCGACACTGAGGAAAGCCGGCCACACTACCTTGACTATATCTTGAGTCGAGAACCCCACCAGCTTCGGGGTTTCCTGCAGTGGCTGATGCCCTCCTTTTTCCTGACGCGATGGTGATACCTTTACGCGATTGGCCAAGGGAACTGTGTCTATCCATGGCGGCAGTTGCTGCCAATCGTCCAGGGTCTCGAAGGTAAAGCATGGCTCAACTCTTTCGTGTAGCCTTTGTACACGTTGCCAAGCCCCACACAGCATGCTTGTAAGGTTGCTTAGACGTGATCTCAGTGCCACGCGCCGATCGGCCGTTACCCAGCCAACTATTGCCGCCATCACATCCTCGATCACGTGCTCGGCACAAGCGTCTTGACGCATCCTCTGCTTGTCCGGCAATACCTCGAGCAGCACGGCTCGAACAAGTGTGTCTTGAAAGGCATTCGTCGTAGGCAGTGCGTCTAACATCTCTTTGGCATCACTGTCCTGTGAAAAGTACGTTGGCCGGAAGACGTATCTGGTCAGCGCTCTAGCATAGATGATCAGGCCTGCGGTTGCCCTCATCTGCTTCGCTTGGGTTGAGTTCGAGGCCGGTATGGGAATTGCACGCTGTATGGCTACGTGATCTCTAACGCGATCCCAAAAACTCAGATCCTGTAGTTGGTCTTCGTCGATATCACGACCGAGGAACTCCCAAAACAAGGCTGATGCGTCTTTGAATGACGAGGCAAGGATACCCGTTCTGACATGGATAGTTAGCATACTTAATACCGTGCTCAAAAGATTAGTGCCTACATTTCCACTTTGACATCTCTCAAAGATGTCATCACAGCAGTGTAGGACATGATTGTTGCGAGCTTGCTCTCTGCGGCTGCTAAAGCCTTCGAATTGGTGCCTAGCTGGTTATCGGTGGACTGCAACTTGCTCTTGAGCGTAGCGATTTCCTCTTTGGCCTCCTTGAGCTGGCCTTTTTGTCCGTTGATGATGCTATCAAGCTCCGTGATACGAGCCTCATGTTTCTTGCTGGTAGTCATGATTCTTTCGACGTCTTTCTCGAGGAGCTCAGCTTTCTTCTTCCACGTCGTGGAAGTGTCCTGTTCAGTCTTAAGTTTCCGGTACGCCGTTGCTTTTTCCTCCAAGACCTTTTTGTAATATTTGTTGTGATCGTCAGTTTTTTTCTGGAACACCTCTTTCTCAACGTTTCGATCTGTGATTACTTGGGTCAATTTTTCGAGATTCTTGCTGAAAGCGGTCCTCGTGTCATTGAGTTCCTCTCGAAGTCTGTCATGATCAGAGATCATGGCCTTCAGACCCTGAAACCCGCTCTCGGTGCAGAATCTTCCGAGGACAGAAATGAACTCATCGAAAACACCTTCAGGTCCTTGGCCGTGAGTGGTCTTGTCCGCCTTCGGAGAATCGTGGGCCGGTGGCAGAGTCATGGTAGCGGCAAAGAGGCCTTTAGCCAAGGAGTTGCCCAAGAGAGGAGTAGACAGGCAAAAAGTGGAAGGTGCCCGTTGTGCTCGATTGTGCTCGGTTGTGCACACATTACGGCTTATCAACTCAAAACCTCGTCTGCTCAGTCCGGATCACCCTTCGCTTCATTCTTCCGCGAATGTCAGCTTCACCACTGCCTATTGAGGCTCGACATTGATGGTGCAACCAGCGAACGACCTGACATGGCTGAGGAGGATGGAAAGTATTGGGTGAAGGATTCAGAGCCTACAGGCGACTGCAACGATTATGCATATTGGCAATAAAGTGCTGAATCTGCGCCCTACATGATGCAGTTGGCTCAGCATTAACAAGAGTGCAGCACACTGGCACATGAACTTCTCGCGTTACAGAGTGCCACGTCTCTCGAGGCATGGTGTGACGTCTTCTCAAAGGGCGATCGAGCCAGTCAAGCAACGCATTACCTGCAATGGCGGCGGTCCTTGGCCCACCATTCGTGCGTTTTACCGGCTTTGTTGCAGGACGGCGTCAAAGTGAGGCGACCACGTCTGCCCGCGTCGTCCGGCAACCAAAGTCTCCTGAGAGCCAATAAGACCTTGAGCATCAACCAAGCTCAATGTTATAGCTTGAGATTGGGAAACAGGCCGGGCTCCTTGTCGGGTATGGTACAGTCTCGGGAGTGCTTACTCTCGAGATGGCCTAAGCACCGTCATGGAATCTATTGCCGTAGCTTCGTCCACGAGGCAAGGTAATCTGGCATTTCATGGGACTAAGGTGAAGTGCGCAACGAGAGGGGCTAGTTGGTGGAATATAGGTCAGATGCATTATGAACTTATTTTCTTTTAGACTTGCCACACTCTATCAGTGTTGGGTCAACAAGGATGAAAGCCATACAAGGCGGAAACTCACTAACATCGCGTGGGAGTTGGTCAGCATCCTTCTATATGGTCTGCCTGCATCCTCTGATACTCATTCTGACCTAACAATTGATTGCAACTCGTATGTACTGCTTGGAGACGACCAGGGCCCTTAAGCAGTATGGCATGCGAGGGACAGCTTTTTGTAGACGAGCAGACCCCCAGCCTACTTTTGCATACTTGAGATGGCCTGCACAAGCCCCATGTTACATTAAGCACACATGATTCTACACTTCTGTTCTCCAGAAATCTTGCTTGCATAGAACTATATGGGAGCAAACCTGCTTTCATGTACATCTGCCCGGTGAATTCTGTCTATGCCAAAACTTGGAGAAGCACATTTTGTCCATGCATGATCGGCTCAGAAATGCCGTGGGCCCGAGAAGTATGAGTACAGATGAACGGTGGACCAAGAACCCAATGCATACGCACCGCTACCCTTGTATGCCACAGCGTTTTGAGATTGTACCAGAGGACGTGCGGAGGGAAAACCCTGTAACAAGCAAATTTGGAACGGGGAGGTTGGCTAGATAAGCGACTTAATATCTGATTCGCTCGCATACGTCGCAATCAAGACTCCGCTACCAAATAATCGCGTTGCGACAGCCTGTCACTTTGTTTGATTGGCTTGTTGGTCCCAGCAGTTACCTTGGTATGGACGCCAGGCACTGTGACGACAATGGCTGGTCATAATTTACATGTCGGGGCTGAAGGTGTGACGAGCTGTTGACAGGGAGGAGTGGAAACAATTCGTGACAGAGTTGCTAACATCCCTCTGAACAGATCAGATCAGCCACGTTCTCTCCCAATTCATGCACACAGAGCTTGACCAATAATCTGCTGGACTTGGCCACGTCCTCGACAAGCGGAAATGCTGAAGGGTGAAATGCGAGTGACCAACATGCAGGAGCTGGCACGACTCACCATAGCAACTGGAAACCAGCAGAATGATCCGCAAGCCTGCGCGAGCTTGCTTGATCGAAAGAGCGTCCTTGTCAAACAGGCGCCCTGCCGTTTACTGACCCGCTAGAATGTTGGTATTGGATGGAGTCAAGTATCGAGTCTATGTTTGAGCCAAAGAGTCTGAATCAGCCCATGGGTGCTTTCCCACTACAAACGAGATAATGCTATGGACGAAGTATAAGGTACTGAACTTTTATGGGGGTTGGGACCCACATTATTGGCAAGCCCATATCGCCTAGGTATTTGGTGTTTTCCCACGAAACGGAACCGGAAGGTCGTTCGTGAAAGCCGTTGATCCGCTCGGCATAGCGCTAGTAGCAAGCCACCTATTGGCGAAACGGACACTCCTGGTTCCCCGCGTCCCAGACCGGCACTCTGGTTGGCCAACTTGCGGTGGAATTGTGCTCTAATAAAAGGGCCGTGCCTATCGACCCTTCTTCCGGTTGGATGTAACTCGCCGAGCGGGTCTCAACGACTTGCAATAAGGGGTCGGATACGCTTGCAAGCAACGTCGAGGACATGGCTGTGATAGATGCTCAGTATCCCACAGCTGTGCCCCCACAGACAGATATCCGGACCCTCCTAGCTAATGAGCTCAGTTGGAATCGACGCGCCGATGCGGCTTGGAAGACAAGGCGCTGTTGGTCTGCAGCTCAGTGTAATAATCCCAAGCAAGAAGGGCTTATGAAGTATGTTTCCCATTGGTCTATTCCACAGAACGGCTAAACAAGTCTCTTCTGTGCGACTTTTCTACTTGTGCTACCTTTTCATATGCATTCATTCCTGTATGTTGCAAACTCAATGGTCGTAGAGCTGAATGGATTGTGTAATCTAGAGGTGCTGTAGTTCGGGCAGTCGATAGCAAAGTGGATCTGGAAGGCGGTGTAGGCCATAACAGTGGCTCATGCACTCATCCAATTGGTTGGGCTTGGACCCAGAAAGAATTTGGACACAAAATGTGTTACGTAGCACAGAACCACAACCCACGAAATGTCCGTCATGTGCTATATCACGTGTGTATGTATCACTGACATCTCGAATAAGGACCTTTTTCTTTTGTCTATGTCAACTTTGATAGATTAAGCCACCTTACTACACTTCTTATGCCCATTGCCGCGTGCCACAACTCGTGACCAAATGACTTATTCCATTCCAGAGCTATGAAATATGACATGATGAATATCCCAACTCATTTGTTTCACGATCACTCACTTTGACCCCAAGAATCACATCGCCTGAGTGTTCCAGCCTTCCTGGTTCTGAGCAACCACCCTTCCGCATCGGCCAAGGCGCTCGATGGCGAGCCTCTGTTTGCAAGAAGAAACGACAGGATGTCAGCGGGGCTGAATTGCAACTCCGGCACGACACTCGCAAACTTGACTGCCAGCTGCTGCACACCTACGTTATTCTTGTCTCGGGTCTCGGCATCAGGCATCTCCTTTTCCGAGTGCTCGAAAACAGTGCAGAACAGCTTCCGAATCACCTCAGCATCGGCAAGTCCGAACTCGATTTTCTTGTCGACGCGGCCAGGTCGTATTAGAGCGTCGTCCAAGTGCTTAATGTAGTTCGTTGTTATAATAAGGACACGACCGTCCTGCGAAGCCACGCCATTAAGAACATTAAGTAATCCAGATAATGAAAGAGATCTATGAGACTTTGTTAAGCTACGTGATACGTCTGAGCCCAGATCAGATTCATCGTTATCAGTATCTCGAGCTCGTGTAGTGCTGACTGCGTCAACATCCTCGAGCAGAACGACGCAGCGCTGGGGAAGGTCGGTGAATAAGGCACTAAGCTGTATATTGTTAATGTCGGCAAGATTAACGATATAAATATCGAGACCGAAGTAGCCGGCAATAGACATACTAAAGCTCGACTTTCCAGTCCCCGGGCGACCGTATAGCAGGTAACCTCTTCGGTATAGTAGCCCGCGACTGGCATACCAAGCTCGAGAATTGGGGTTGAAAAAGGCGCGAATGTCGTCCAGGAGCGTTTACTTGAACTCCTCCTTTATAATAACGGTTTTGATTAGCCTGATTTCTTGGGTCATAGTTCTTTTCCAGCTATTATTATAATGTTCGAATATTGAAGTTTTGTCTTGTGAGATTTTTAGGTATTTAAGGCGGCATTCGCCCATGAGATCTCGTAGAATTTGCGAGGAACCACTAACATAAGAAACAGTCATTGTCTTACGAGGAAACAACGCTACCTCGTTCTGCGTGCATTATAGAAAGAGTAAATGTCCTTTGTACCAAAAATACAATTGCTTTCTCCACGGGGTAAATCGAAGGGGCTTCTTAGTCGTAGTGTTGTAGTCTGGATAGTACATAGCCCGTCCTCGCCTGCCGTCGACGCTGACAAGGGATGAACGAGCGTCTTTGGCAAAGTCTTGGGAAGAGACCCAGCATTCGAGCATATCGTATCCTTCGTCAGGATCGTGAACGTCGGCTCTACATGCTGTCGGACATTAATACTGTGCTGAAGCATTGGAAAGGAAGGGCCACCAACTTAAGTAAGTATCTACGAAGCCTCCCACGGTGTTGCAAATGAACTTGCCACCAACGATGAGCATTCCACAGACGCACAACATTGTGGCAAAGTTGTCCAGCGTGCCGTTGAGAAGCTGGTTCAGCGCCGCCATGGCGCCGGTAAAGCCAGGGAAGAAGATGTCCACTACGGAGACCCCAGTAGAACTCGTGTGGTGCATGGTGTCGATTTGAGAAGTGTCTAACAAAAAATGGGTAGCAGTCGACGAGCTAAGGGTAATTATAGTTCAGCATCAACCTATTGACCGATTTTGAACAGTAGTATAGCAGGAACAAGAGCTGTGAATAGAGTTGAGATTCGGAGAGCACTGTTGTGCGGGCGTTCACCTGCAGAACTGGGCAAACGGCTGCTCTTTTATATTTGGAGCTCTGTCTTGAGAACACCTGACAAACCTCACCATGAAGAAGCTGCAAGCCTAATAATAAGATTCGATGCAGCGTGCGGCGCTTGGGTCTGGCCACAGCATGTTGAAGGAGGCGTCATGCTAACCCCCTGCTGTCAGGCAAGAGCTGGTCTCACCGGGAGCGTTCCGATTTACAGCCATGACTTTCACTGGAATAATCGTCGACCTACATCCCTAGACAACATTCCCGGCATCCTGGCTTCGCTCGTTCGTCGCTTGGGGCTCGTCGGGAATCTGTCTATGATCTTGCTGTGGCCGCTGTCTTGGTCGAGGCACCAACGGGCACATTCTTGCAATTGGGCGTTCCTCGCTATGCTAATGCGTTCAGGCATGGATTGTTTCTATCTTTTGGGTTGCCAGCTTGCATTTCGTATGTTGCGTTCTCATGCAGCTACAAATCTCTCTCGAGAGAGTGGTGGGCTTCTAACGCGTTGTGAGAATCCACTCGCAAGTGAGTGGATTGCGAATGGATGGTGGACGATGGATGGATGGTGGATGATGGATGGATGGTGGATGCAGGATGGAAGGATGGAAGGATGGATGGATGGATGGATGAGTGGATGAATGGTGGGGAACCTAACGTCGGATGACATGGGGCAGTTTCGGGCCTATGTAAACCCGCGGTCATGAGTGGGACTTCGCGACATGATCAGGCGTCAACGTGGGGTGACCTACTCACAAAACTACTGCCCCTCAAGAAAGATTTGGACAAATGCTTGCGCGCTGACATTTGAGGTAAGCCCTGTCGAATGCTTCTACCGCTTTATCTAACCATTATCCTTTGGCAAAGATCCTTCAAGTTTCCCTCTCTGATTGCTACCGCAACCCTACTCAAGATCTAACGCGACAACCAACGCGAAACCTTGCCCGATACCTGACGAGAATACCGAATTTCAAGCCGGCGCAAACCCCAACACGAGAGTGGCGATAGATCTACTTCATACCATAACGGTCGATGGAATGAGAAAGATTCGCACAAAGACTTCGTCAGACCACAAGCTCGTCAAGAAGTGCGAGAAGGAAGTATGTGCACCCAGGACTTCAACGTGATTAACGCTCACTTGGGAATAGACCGGACATAAGTGTTCAAATCCCAAATGGCAGGACTTCAACGACTTGGCTCGGTATGTGCCAGGCCAGGATACGGCTGTTTTACTGGTAGACATGCACCTCAAGCCTGGTGAAGGGAAAGCTGTTTACATTCACGATTCCAACGACGAGCAAGTTGATATGGTTGGCATGGAGTACAAGGGATTTACTGTCATAATTCCATGGGAGGCTGGACTCAAATTTGTTTGTTACGGACCATGTAGAGTCGCCGAAGTTGTGGTAACCGAAGTGAGTTCTACATGAGTCGTTTCTGGCTATGCGTTAAGTACATTGCTGCCTTGCCTGATACTGGGAACATGATAAATGGAGAAACTCCTTTGATGAAAGGAACCGTTAGTGTACCTTCACTTTCCATACTAAATTCGGGATGCGAGAGTGCATGTATGACATCTTTTGCCGTCGCTCTGTATACCCTTTGTAGCTCATCTAGACAAGAGTCGTTAATGGTTTTCGATTATTAGGAGGGCGCAAGGCGTCATACCGTCTTGTGATTGGAATGTATCGACGGAATTGATCGGATTGAGTGGTGCTGAAATTGGGAGATCCTCTTCATCGTCACTGTCATCACTCTCGGCACATCGTGCGATAGTTTGGCCACCAGCTTGATGGTCTGGTCCAATCTCCCGCCCAGCAGCCTCGATCTCGGGCCTGTGAGAGACCTGACGATTTCTAGTGGCCAGCTGAGAAGCCACAATGCTCCGGGCATTGATGTAAAGGTCCTGATAAGTCATGCTGCACTCATTTCGTATTTCTGACGATGCTCGGTACCCGGTATTCAACTCGCTGCCGGGCCGCGAGGTATCGTCATTCATCTCGTCTGGCTCAGAGTGCACGACCATTCTTTCGACTGACATCAAGCCCTTGGGCCCTCCCTTAAGCCTGGCTCGTTTGAACGCTTTTCCAGAGTCCACGGCCGAGCTTTGTTGGGTTGAACGGGGTGTTGACAGAGAACGTTTCGAAAGGGACGTATGAGAGGGCCGTTCTTCTTCTGCTCGCTTGTCTGCTCGATACCGCTCGACTATCGCTTCGGCTTGTTCTGTAAAAGCAACTGGAATCTTGCCTTTACCAGGCCATTTCGCTAGAGCGTCGTTGAACTGCTGTCGCTCAGTGGAAAGTGTAGTTATGGTGGATACAAATAGACAGAGATAATAGACTGGATCCCCGAATTGCTTTCGTATGTTGAAAAGACACTTCTGAGCTGATTGGTGCCGACTTCTCGTTGGTTGAGCAGCTGTCGCATGGTATGGTGGATTGCGCAGTAAGATAGCCGTACGGTTTAGTCTTCTGCTCAAGTCTTCATCGGAAAATCCGTGCTCATACTGGTCCAGGAAAATTGTAAGGTTGCTGATGTGCCTAGCCATTGCACGGATCTTGAGAGAAGAGGGAGGATGGAGTGAGAAAGGCTGTGGAAAACGTTGTAGAACGATGAATAAATAGAGAATGGATGAGCGGGGAATAAATGTTTGTATGGATGAACAAGAAGCGGACTGGATGTGTTCCTCGGCGTTTAGCCGCTCAACTCCTATTTGCTGGAGAAAAGTGGCGCAAATAAAGAGCCCTGTTTGCCAATCGTCACCTTGTTGACCGTGCTGAGGCTGCGTCACTTGAGCTTTTGGTATTGTCAGGGCATGTATATGGTATCCACCTATTCATTCATCTCGCGACTAGTTATCCATTCTCATCCTTCCATTCATCTATCTTTCATTATCCAGAATGCGATTGACAACACATAAGTGATTAGTGGGCCACGATTCTGGAATTACTCGAGTGGGAACAGCGACCTGACGGTTGAGAAACGTGGCCATTGCGCAGGCTGTAAGTGCATCGGTCTAGCCACTGTCGAGCGTCAAAAGATCACGTCTATCCTTGCAAAGTGTTGCGGTACGTTATCACACAAGCAGCACAGCGCGCATAAAGAAGTCACCGATAGCCGACAGATACTACCAGTTTGATCGAGGGCTCTCAGCTCCCTAGCAGAACTCTTCGTCGTGCGCATGCATTGTGTCATCACATTCGTGCTTAGCACATCTACTGTATCCATCCGTATTATATTCATCATGTCTAATTCATCTATTCGTGCAATTCCTACAGCGCCAGCACGTTTTCTGAGCCAGTCGGTTTACTTTGGGAGCGGATGATCAACGGAATATATGCTTTCAGGACGCTGAAATCTGTCCAAGTGGGCCAAGTGAGATAATGGCTCGGGGATCACCGTCTTCTTATAAGCCGCAGCTTCATCGGCCTAGCCATGTTCTAGCTGCAAGAGATCATCCGATTTCTAGTACGAGTCGCAGCGCACGTTCTTCAGAGGTCTCTGCTAGTAGCGGAAAAATCTCCGGACGTGTCTGTCAATTGACCTCAACCACTAGACTTGTCATCCTACTCAGATACACCTGCAATGGGTATAGTGATGCCTCATTTACATGCACAAGAAGTATGTGGCCTTTATTGAGTTCGCAACAAACAAGTCGAAGAGACAATGCATTAATTACACACAACATGCCACCGAATGGAGTCAAAACCGATTCTCAAGTCTTCTGCAACTATTCATAGAAAGATGCTTATCAGCGGTTTAAGGTAAGGATTACGCAAGTTGAAAAGAGACGTAAAAGAATGCTTCCTCACGATGCCTGCGGGGTAAGAAACATCTGATCTTGTCCATTCTGAGATGGAGACCAGGGCGACGTTGGAAGGGAGGAATGAATGGAAGAGTGGATGCATGATTGGAGGATGGATGAATATATGGATGGCTGTATGTCTTTCACCCTGTAATGGGGACTTTGCTCGTCTTGGCCTGGCGGGCTAACTTTCGGCCAACGACTACCCTACCAAGCCTCAAATTAGGTGAGGTAGGCAACATGGGCCATCGCCAATACGAGACGGCCACGATATAAGACCAGAAGGTTTGTCCGTTGCCATCTACATAGTATTGCGCTCCGGTTCTACTAGCGAAGGTTCGACCAGCAACATACCAACCTGAGCCTATTCATCGTCTCAATTCAAACGCTTCAGCATGAACGTGCATCATATTCATCTTTACAGAACTGTCCGAGTAGCGGTGAGACAACCTGACGGAAATCTGTTGACAACAGAAGGCAAAGAACAACAGATTCTATACATTCAACAGGACGGTATATTTAGCAGTACCGGCCAAGTGGCAACATATTTAATATAACACGAAATGATAAGCATCCGAGCAGAAATCATCCGCTTCTCTGCCCATCCTGTGTATAACTACGTTTGGAGTTTAACAAGCGATTATTTTAAATTATAAGGATGCCCTTGCGATTTTTAACCTTAGGGATAGATCTAATAGTTAGCAGACGGGTGAGGTTCATATCTCCATGGTAACCCTTTACTCAGATTACCTAGGCTCCATCTCCACAAGAATTTCGGTATATAGCAAGTGCCTCCTTCTCTCGTTCCCCCGGCGAGGTGGCTGTGCGGATGGGCCCGTCAGGCCGGGCGGTAGGCACAGCTACTCAAACTCTCGTCGCTAGCCACGGCTCGCCTATGACTTGTTTAGTCAACATCGATATCTCGGAGGACGATTTGATTGTCATTTTTTAACTAGACGATCTAACTTTGGCCCCTGTGCTTTCCCAAATATTCAGAAGACTACCCTTCGGGTGGAATACAGAGACTGTCCAGCCGGATCCCTACTACACTAACCACTCTCTCAGCATGCCAGATCAAAACAATATGGATTATGCACTTGGTGCAGAAAACCACAGTGGAATCTGCTTCCCATATTGCAGCAGCGTCATCTCTCCTTTTGAACCAGGACTCGACCGGCAAAGTTGCGTTTCAGATCAATACCAATTGCCATATGCAGATAAATACAGTCCAGCTTCTGGATCAACACTCAGCATCGGCTCAGAAGAACAAAACAGTGCACAGTTCACCACCATCAATAGTACTGGCACTCACCATGATACTATTGATGACCATTGTATCGTCGTCAAACCTCTACCATAGGCCAATGAGGGCGGGGGGGGGGGGTGGGGGGTTGTTCAATGCAACATACTGATCGCACACTGGTTGCGCTGATAAACCGTTTCGAATGCAAGAGAAGCTACCCAACCAAAAAGGCCAACACTTGTTTCAATGACACTCTAGCTTCACATGGTTAGCTTATCAGACTATGAAGTAATTTATCCTGGCATCACGTACTAGAAAAAAGGCATTCGCCGCCTGATTCTTCGACAGGTCCAAAATAATGATCGTATCAGAAGCCCGGAGCAAGCTCAAGATGGCACTAAGATCGCCGTCCGGCACTGTCAGGCGAAGCGTACATACAGCCATTTTCAGCCTTTCCAAACCTCTTGACCTGAGTCGAGGCTTTTCAACTCAGCCAATAGCTGGGGCCATCATCATCATCAGCGACTAACTGGTGGAGGTTTTGACCGTGCCCCAGTCGGGTTGCGGAGGGCGGGGGTGATGGGTAAAATGCGGGTACCTCAGAGCTTCACAAAATGGAGCTATTCAGCATCCAATGGGATGCTCCAGATTACCGAGCTCTTACCGCAATAAATCCTGGCTTCTGCCTCTCCGGTCCCCAAGGCGCAGCGTCGCGCAGCGTCCGGATTCGGTCCGCAGCGTAATGACAGCCGCAAAACAAGTTTGCCTCCACCGTATCCTCGTCATCAAATTATTGTCGAGCAGTGCGGTACTTCTTCCCTCGGCGTTGAGCATCATGAATTCACTCAGGTGATTGCCTCTGAGATGCAGATCAAAGCAGCTGAGCGAACGGTCGCCGTGTCGGCAATATCCGTTATCGATGCCGTGATGGCCATTAGGCTGTGGCTTGGTCATCTTTCCTGTCCGCAACCTAGTTGGTTAGTTACATTGGAAGGTCGGCGATACGTAGCGACTCTCCATGCGTGACTATTCAGCTATCATGCCCCACATAAACCACGAAGTAGGCAATACTTGTTTACTATCTTCACAAAACCAAACTGATGCCATCACGCAAGCCTACCTATCTCTTCATACCTCACTCGCTAGTCCTAGCATTCGACCCGGCCGGAAAGACAGGGGGTGATAATCTAACAGGAGAATGTCTAGTTGTTACCCTTCGCTTCCGGCGATGACATTCCTCGGTCACAGTCTCCTCATCACTCTCGTGAACGAACGATCGCTTTCTGGTTGAGCAACGCCCTATAGCCCCGCTTCCGCTTGGCGTATATCGACCCGCCTGCTTTTTGTCTCCCGGTTCAGTAGGCATGCTTGCCCTTGTCGGAGGGGTGGATTCGTCCACTACTTCGACATAAGAAAGCTCCGGTGAGGAATGTGACGTGCAAGACGACGTGGCCTGTACCGGATAGGGGCTTGTGGTTGACCGAGAATCTTTCGACAATGGTGTGGCGGCAACGGCGGACAAACCGTCCGTCGGCCGCGGCAACGTGGGGTGTAGGCCAAATGACAATCTGGGGGTTGTTTGCGATTTTGGTGATGTGCTTGTCGATTTATGCGACCGTTTCGCGCAGCCCTCCCCTTTTTCTTCTATTGCCTCAGCTAACGTGACTGATTTTACATGCGCACCTGTCGATGATGATGGCTGAAATTGGTGCTCCGAAGTTATCTCGTCCGTATCGTGACAAACCGTTGCTCTCAGCGAAGGATGACTCCATGGTTCGCCCACTTGTTCGTCCGAGCTAGGTGAGGAGCATAACTCGGGGGGAAATGTATTCTCGTATTCCCATGGATCGCCTCCATCCTCGAAAGCATCATCTCGCGCATCGCCATCACGTCGGGCATCGGGTTCGTTTCCAATCGTGCTAGTAACGCCGGCAGTGGTGACGTGGATCAGCTGCTTATCCTCGGCCCTACTCCAACCGAAAACAACACCACACACAAACTGTATCAAGCTATCCATACTGCCAGTTTGGCCAATTTTGAGTGCCGCATCGCGGGTACTTGTAGACGAAAAGTGCTGTCGGAGATTGATGGATGAAAGGGCGATGTCGCGTACGAAACTGTCGAGATCTCGGCGGCGCTCTTCGTGCTTCGCAGCGAGAAGTTCCTCGAGGTGTCCACGATTCTCGGCGTGTTTTGCAGCAGCCATAACGTCGGCGAAATAGGCGTCCTCATCGAGGAGCGGGACTGCGATGGTATTGAACCGCCGCCAGTAGTCACCCCATATCATTTTTGGATTGTGAAAGTCAGGCTTAGCTATTCGTCTCCAGGCCTTGTTCTTCTCGTATGTCATTTTCGGCGGCTGGAAAGCGGGCATTATGTGATTCTGTCTTGGGTGTTGACCGCGGTCGAATTGCCGGTCGGGCGATCGTGTTCGTCAGATGTACGGGCGGGTGGATGAAGTAGCTGGTAATGTGCAAAGTTTGATGTGTGTATTGACGTGGAAAGTGAATGTGTGGCGAGAAAGGACTCTGCGACAAGATGGATGGCCAGTTTGGAGGTTGGGCGGTGGAGAAGGTGTTATTGTTAAGATTGGGGATTTCTTGTACACGAGGGATGACATGATCCAGTCATCAGCCAGCCTTGGCAGTAGTTGCGACCCGTCCGATAAGCGAGCGCGCGCTCTTCTTGGGCGCAGGCGCTAAACTGTCGCTCCCTGTCTCTGGTCCAATGCAGGTGCGCAGGTACCTTGCTGGGCATTTCCCTCACAAGGCCTCGAGGACTACTTATAACACCCTACCTTGGCCTGTACCAGAGTTTTAAAGAACTCCCCAACGCTAAACTGCCTCACCTGCTCGCCTTCATTATCAGGATGAGTTCCCTCAATAGCGAATCAACTCAGGCTTTTAGCGACTCTGCTGATCTGCAGCGGCGCATAGACCAGATCAAGGCAGAATACCGAGAGAACAGCCAGTTGGCTGGGCAGAGTGAGACCTGCACGGCAACGAGTGCAACAACATTACCAACTCCTGGCAGTCTTGAGCTCACCGAAATCATTGAGGCCTTTTCCAACGCATCCCTCGCCTCGTTGCCTGATGCTCGTCTTATTTTTGCCTGCCGCCGCCAACCGCGCAGCACTGACTCTGCTATGATTCCTTTGCCGCACAAAGTTGGCGGGTGGAACATGGTCGGTGTGATACAGCGCACGCACGACGTGAACTTCACTCTGTGTGTTCCTCTCAACGACCCTCCCTGCGACCCGAGACCTACGCGGTTCATACCTTTACAAGTTCGGTGCAGTGTTTACTACGATCCTGCCGACGACAGCTGTGTTCTGGTCAACAAATCGTGTGTAGATTTCTATCTCACCAGCTTATATTCCCCAACGAGCCGCCGGCGTCTATCGTATGACCAGACCGAGGTGATCAAGCCCGGTATGTGGAGAATTTCGGCGGAGGTCAAAAACCTCACGACTGAGCAACATCTCGTCGACTTCTTGATGCAGCGGAGGCAATTCACCATCACTTTACTTGAAGGCCTGCCTAGCTATTCAGCTACCGCCAAGCGCCTTGCCTCCGGCGAGGAGCAACATGGTGCAAAGCGACGAAGACGGGAGAGGGCCGTGGCAGAAGTTGTTCTTGCTACGGCCACGGACTTAACACACAAATCAACTGACGCCGCCGTTACCGAAACTACTAAAGGCCTCGGTCCCGCCATTCCAACCTCGCGGAAGATTGCTCGAGCGGGCGGTACACCACTTCTAGACCTCTCGGATGGAGGAGTTGCCGTCGTCCGTTCTAAGCAGGTCAAGGACGACGAGGTCAGTTATCTGCCCCTGGACAGAGAGGCCGGCGGGATTTCTAGGTGCGGCAATCAGACCACCTACAGACTTCATCGGCTCAAGCGAATCGCTGATACGCTGTCCGCCAGTCTCTTCACTGGCCGCCACTCGGCATTATCGGAAAAGGTTGTGGCGAAGGTGATCAGGTACAAAGGCAAGACGGCCGAAGACCTGATAAGATGCGCATCGATCTGGAAACGAGAAAAGTCGTTCCTGGAAAAGCTACATCACGTGTATTTTTGCGCCCCGAAAACGTCCGGTTTGTTCGACCTCTGCTAACGGCCATTAGCCAAACATAATCTCCCCGAAGGCCTTCGACGGCCGCGTCTTTGCCATGCTTGTCGAGCAGCTTCCCCCGTCCCTCCACCGCGGGTTCAGTTCGCCTTTCAAGACAAGCGACGCTCAAAGAATACTCCAGGGCACGTCATCCGCCCTCGCCTATCTTGCGGACCAACGGGTCATCCACAATGACATCAAACCAGCTAATATCGCCTATTCTCCTGAGCGCGGCGCTGTTCTTCTCGATTTCGGACTAGCTACGACGATCGATGAGAAGGAGCTGCCCGGTGGTACCCCTTGGTATGTCCCGCCTGATCTTATTGTGCAACGAACACGAGGGAGTCCGGGCGACGTATGGGCCTTGGGTGTCACAATGCTCTATGTGCTGGGAAGTATCACTCTTCCGGAGAAGACAACAAGAGGTTGGCTCATCCGTAACGTGACAAATCGACACGGGGAAGCTCGTGAGCGCTTGCTAGGCTGGCTCGATAGTGTCGCTCGCGCTAGGGCCAAATTAGATCGGACTGATATACTGGAATCTACCGTTTTCCGGATGCTCGAGCCTGGAATCGATTCTAGAATCCATGCCACACAGATCGCAGCCAGCCTTGAGGATTTGAAAGAAACCTTGGGCAGCAAACCTCACTTCTCAAACTTGCAACCGCACTCGGTCAGGGACAAGGAGAAACCATCTGAGAAGGGGGATCGCACAAAAAGGAAAGCTCGGCGGACAACTTCTGACTAGGCAGCTTCTCTGACACATTTGGGGGCTTTCCCATGTAACCGGGTAGTTTCGATCATTGCAATCGGCCGTGCCACCTTTCAACTTACGAAACAGAGGTATGAACCCTCGCCGCTGCCCAGATTGAATCCCATACTAGCAGGCGTCTGAGGTAAGGCCTTTTCCTGAGCCATGGTCTCTGACGAGATCTACAAAACCAGATAGTCCTCCGGGCATTTCTTTCAGACATGGTGTCATGTCCTTATCACGCAAAGGGGTTCGCAAAAACACCTTATATACACTTCATCTAGTGAGCCGTTTCAGCGCAAGACCTAGGCGGCGGAGTTAGTAAGTACCACTATAGAGCAACCGTCCAATATTAGTATTTTGAGGGAAAAACATGTGCCTATAATCAGAAATCCTGGGATTTGAGTAATAAGCAAAACCGCGTCTTCATTATGTGTGTATTATAAGTAACCGCGGTATACATATATAAAGAAGAAAAAAAAGCGATGTCCCTACTACTGTAGGGATAGACCTTTGAACAATAAGTGTCAGACTGCCTCAGCACATTCGCTACGGTAATTGTTTCACCTCGAGCGACCTGACTTATGCTTAACCAGTGGTATGAGAAAGGCTAGCAAGGGTATCTTTATACAAGGGGATCGTACACTCATTATATAGATATGGGGTTCCTTTCCATAGCCATCCATTCGATATACTCATCAATACACAAATTGACCCCTGCCTGTCTGACTGCTGCTCGACAATAAGTATCGTAATGACCCGGCTTAAAACAATTGCATCGACCGACATCCTTGCGACAAGCCAGCAGGGCAAGAGGTGGTGCCTCCGGGAGGGCGCAGTACGCGCTGCATTGAAGACAGTCCAAAGTGATATCCTGGCGGTAGCTGATCTTAGCCTGCTCGAAATCCACTACCGCGATACAACTACAACTCACTGTGTCACGCAAGGCACTACGTAGCTTCGCATCGCGGTGAACGTCCCGCAGCTTATGCGTTTTCTTTTACGCTTGGGTAACCGCGTCGACCTTGGCGGCTTCATTGGCGATGTAGAATACTACGGCGGCACCTTTCTGAGAAGGCGTCTCTTCAGGTGAAGCAAGACCCATCTGAACTTCCTTACGAGGGAAGCACTCATACAGCTCTGCGGATCATCCGATTGGACGCCCATAGCAGGGGCGGACCGCGTCAAGCCCTGCGTGATGGTCACATTGCATCCGACCTTTCTACTGGCTGAGGGCGGTCGTAGTTCCCCGGGTTCTGTACCCATTGTGGCTCGTCGAATTCTCGGCTAGCTACCATCTGATCCACGGACGCAACGATGTGGCTGCCTCTTGCCGCCACGGTGACTGGCATCCACATCGATGTCACTGTTGGTCGAGCCTTCACAGCAGCAACCAATAAGTCGAATGATCGATAAGCTACAAACAGACAACCATTTGGCAGCGGAGTCTCGATTGCGCCGTACTTGAGCGAATCGTATTGTTCAGTTTTGACTCCTCTAGTATTGCTTATTTCTGGCTAACGTCCTATGATTTTGACCATGTCGAGCACCCAAACTCGACTGTTGCAGTCGGGCTGCATGGCCCAGACCTTTTGCTAGCGTGCTGAAAAGAGCCAATATGGAGAGCGTAGCCGCCATTACTTCTGGTGCACCGTTTTCTTTGTGCACCGGCAATCTACCCCGCACTTTACCCCACTTCTTGAGATTCTACGTAAGCAGCTTTACCTCTGCGGACTTCTGCTTATGCAGTACTTTTTAGAGCGAAAACGCGCGGAAGTGTATATGTTAAAGCAGGATGGAGCTGACGCGGCTCACCTCAAAGCACAAATTTGCGGAAATGGGTTGGGTAGGGGGTCTGCGTTTCTCAAGTGAACCTCAAGCGGAGATAAGCGCATAGCACTCTGTAGATGAATCACCAGAAGTAAGCCATAGAGAACTATTGTAGCATCAGGTTCGGTATCTTGGATCAATGAATCAGCAAGAACGAAAAAGATAGCCGGGCTACAGTCGGTACCTCCGGTCCACTGCTAACGGAGTACCCGCATCGTGCCAATTCGGATATCCTCGGCAAATGCGTGGCCGTTTGTTGGACCAACATTATTAGTGCGAAGGCCTCCGACACCCTTCCCACTCGACCGTAATCATCTCCACTTCTAGGCGGTGCGCTTGCGATCCCATAGCTTCCGCATGTGCGTACAGTACAAGCAGCCTCAGTGACCTGTCTACGCTCAAAGATGATAGCAATCTAATGCATTTTCTGCCCAGTTCAGAGCCAACTTGGAGATTTTCCAGGTTGAGGAAGGTATCAAAGATGTGTTATTGGTACATACACGATCAGTGATCAAATGCAGCTGTGTGATGTCCACAGGGATATGGGGCATGAGAAGGCGGTTCTGTGGACTTGAAATCCAAGTGTTCGCCTCAAGCCAGTTGAACCTCCATCAGAGCACCTGTTCCGCTGCATGCCTCTTACTGAGTCGGGGCTACTGGAAGTGACGTGCTAGGTTTCCAAAGGGTCTCGCCTATGGCCGTATGCACTCTTGCACATTGCCATGTAGCTGCGGTCCACTAATGGGCCGCTGGTGCTATTGTTTGATCGCCCAGACGCCTGTTAGAGCACAAATTCAGGAGGTAGTGCTATGAAAACGTTTCATTGGAGTGCCTCACTTCCCATCTCACATATATGGCAATGGTGGCATGATCTATTCCCAACTTCTCTTTTAGCGAAGAAAATCAAGTATTTTGGTTAAGCCTTGTGCATCGCCTGCCATCGTCCCAGCTTTCTCCTGGTCTACCCATCCAGGTGTGTAACTGCCCCCAAAGTCGATAATCCAGGCATTGTCATCCTGATCGATCAGGACATTTTCAGCCTTGGCATCGCCCCAGACGATGCCTTTGCAGTGTAGCTGCTTCAGAGATGTACTGATCTGCGTTCTCCAACGTTTCCTGATCTCGGATGTACTCTGGTTTGCTCTTGCTCTTGACAGCACTCCTTTCTTCTCGATCCAATTGAACAGCATGCCCATCAAGTTGTTCCCGTCTCGAACAATGCCGTGTAGGCGACAGATCCATGCATCAGGGGCAGAAGGTATCTGCGCCGTAGCAATTTCGTTCAATCTCGCGAGTTCGCTCCTGGCATGCGCTTGACCGAATGAGAGTCCAAAGTGTTTGAAGTAGCACATGATCTTATCGCCATTTTCCGCATCAACAAGAACCTTAGTCGGTCGTCTTATCAAGACATCTTCGGGGCGATCGTACAGTATCTCGATATCAGAGGGATCGTAGGACCGAGCCCACTGATCGAGATTCCCAAGCAACTCATCGTCAGCAACCACAACGGGGCTGCACCAGCCATGATTCTGATTCTCTGCCTGATACGGGTGTGGGACATCGTCGGTGGCATCCAGGCCGCAAACGATGTGCGGGGGGAAAAGATACTGGGATAGAGTTGGCAGACTACCGTTAGGAAGCACTGAAGACGGCGGCGCCAGCTGGGTGATGAGAGGCTCGAACATTCTGGACAGCCAGTCGCAAGCATCTTCAACATAGAAATCATCCTGCTCGTCTTCCCCAGACCGCAGCAGTTCGAGGCATTTGAAGTACTGCTCTGTGATTCTGGGCGACCGATGAAATTGCGACGGGGAGATTGTGCAATAAAAGGCTCGTCCGTTGTTGGTTCGAATGATGAGATCGCAATCGTCTTCCGTTTCGTGTATCTGCCAAAGAGCAACGTCATATCGTAGTAGGTTCTTCATGGCGATTATTCTCCTGATTTGCGGTGAACTCAAGACGAAAGAAGTAGGTTAAATAGAAAACGTAGGTAATTGAGGGGATCCAGCATCAGTGCTTCCGTTCTTACTGCGTTTATCTACAAAGAAAATTGCATGTTGGTGGTCCGTGCACGAAATCTGATGCATCATTTACTGAAATGTCCGCAGCGGCACTGTACGCGAGCAAACGTGTGTTCGTGACAGCGGCGCAGCACAATGGTCCTGGGCGTCTCGCTGACCCCAATTGTGACCACTTCGCTTTATGTCGGCGTATCGCTTTTCGTCATTCGATATGCGAGCGTCTATTCATACAATGGGCTGGATCTGCCCTGTCTCCTTTTGTATATGACCCTGTGATCCCCCCAGCACTAGTGATGATGAATGGTGCTAACTTAGCATGCCCACTTACCAGCTCTACTCCGTCTCCAAGCTAACAGTAACTACGCCATTAAAGTTAGGTCCCAATACGGCAGATATGTGTCAAGCGTGGAGGTACACCTTCACATGCGGACACCAGAGCGGAGAGAAGTGGTACGACCCTGAGAACGCCGAGGATTGCCCAGAGGCGGTTCGTGCCAATCGTCGTCACAGGCAATATGGAACGCTATTGCGCTGTAGCCCCTTATCGACTGCATCCGTGTCGACGCAAGGTGTTTGTTCGAGGGACAAATGCTATGCCAAGGAGTACCTCATACCCTACGGTTGGTGGTGTCATTATTGTGGTTACATGAACAATGTAGGGGTAAAGCATTGTGCAAATCCTCAGGCCGGTCTCAGTCAAGGGCCATGCCGGCACAACCCTTGTCATCACTGTCAAGCAGATGACCCTGCCCAATAATAATCAGCAAACTATCTTGATAACATCACGGTCAGTACATCAGAGAGAGTTGGCAGCTCGAAACGGATGCTATTCTGGTAAATTCCCCTAGTCTGACCTATCAAAGATAGATAGCACTCGCTTGCCAAATGCCTTCCGTCTCCTGTCGCGCAAATCTGGGCCTTCGCCATTTAGACTCTGCGTGCCGAGCCGCCAAGTCCATCCCAGCATAACGCGGCTTCAGGCCCCGACAGCTAGGCTATCATTGACTAAGACGTCGTCCTTAAGGATACCCTCGAATCTGGACGTAAAGAAACCCCCGCCTTTCCCTACAAAACTCCCTCCAAAACCCGACGTTACCAAAGCTTCAAGCGCTCCCCAATTCAGTCGACCCTCTCTGCCAGCAACTCGACTTCAACATTAGTTGCCGAGACAACAGCAACATTGAAATGGAGAAATAAATTGACGCCTCATGGACGCATATTGCTCATGGCCGATGAAAGAGTGATTCCAGTCGTCGTGAATAAGTGGGCAACCTGTCGTCCTATCAATTTAGAAGTAGTTCCGTTCCGAAAGGCCATCTAGTACGAAACAAGTCAGACATCAAGACGTTGAACGCTGCAATTTCGGTCGTTTAGTGTCGCCACATTGGACGACAGCGTCTCGTGTTGAGACAATCTTATCGCGGCTAGATTCCGGGTAGATGGCTCTGCCCCGCTTATCAATATCCCCAGTATGAAACCTGGCAGATGAACGAAGTGGTGGGAATAACCAAATTAGACGACCCCTTACCGTTGACCATGGCTTCCTACTATACAATTGCCCCTCAGTTTTCTCGTCCTTTCATACGTCGAAATCTGTCTTTCCGTCGCTATCCCGGACGTTTGAAGACACGTGAGCTGAGAGAGACTAGTTCTTTGGAGCCCTCAAGCAGTACGTCTCACATCGTACAGACCACATCAAGGACGGCCTCTTGCTGTGTAGCTTTGATGTATCTCGACATGTGACACGCCACGGAGTCTAATTCTTTCGTGAGTGACTGCGTCAGTGTCTGTATTGGTGCTCGATTGGTGCAGTCAAACAGTGGCGTTCCGACCCGACTGAGAAACAAGACATGCTTATCTACGCTACTGCCATATTACAACGGCAGGGTTGATCTGTCCGTCCCAAGCAGACGGGAACATGGCGGCGATGGAAACAAGGGTCTCAAAGCGAACGAGCGGGAATTTGAGAGTTGATCCCACATCTACTCTTGCCTCGGCGCGAAGTCATCCTATGGGACGATTCGTCGAAGAGAACATCCAGCCGGTCGAGTTGATCGTATCGGCTTGCGTAGTTAAGGTGCGATCGGTCACTACCTGAATGGCGAGGCTGAGGGAGTAACCAAATGCGAGATACTTTTGAAGGGTCTGTGGTTGTGGATGAAGACTTTGCTCCTGTGATTTCCGTTTTGCTTGTCTGCCTGGGCCATTTCGAGGGCCAAGACGATACCTTGCAGCTCTCCTGCGTAGACTGTTGATGTTGTATCGTTGCCCATGTGGGTTTTGCTGGTTTGCTGTGTGGTTGCGTAGACTGTGGCGGCTCCGATGTGACTGTCGATGCCGCTGCCGTCTGTGTAGATGTGTGTTGCGTCGGTGTTCTGTTTTAGATATTGTTAATGTTCCTTCTTAGCCTGCTTCGTATCTTTGCCGATATGGATGCGCGGAACCTGCCACCATGGGGCAGCTACGAAGGGCGGTATGCGCACATTTGTTGTTCGACTGGTAAGAGAAGCATCTTTATATCGAGTGCTGGAAACGAGGTCGCTTTGTACGCTCCGCTTATTGCACTGGCTGCTCTGGCTTGAAGCCTTTGCAGCCTTTTGAGTGTCCTCTTGGTGTAGCCTTTCTTTTCTAATCTACTGTTGGACCGTAGCGAGCACGCGTATATTATTTGCGGTATGGCGACTCCTCGTTGATGCGTTGTTTCTACTCGAGGGCTGACTTTATGACGAGGCCGAGGTATTTATAGGTTGCCTTGGGTTCGATTTTTTCTTATGGGCTCTGGAGTGTTGTGTCTGTGTCGAATCTGATTTTTGCTTGTGTGAGATGAGCAAGCTGAACTTTTTGGGTGCGAAGATTGAGGCATGGGTGATGGCTAATGTCTTAGGTTTCCGAAGCGCTATTTGGAGTTTTTGGTAGGTTTTGTTAGTGATATTCCCCCGCTGTAAGGATTGCTACGTTAATAATGAAGCTGGTGGCTGTCGTGTCTTCGGCTTTATTGTAACTGTCTAAGAGATTTTCGTTGTAGAAGAGGTAGAGTATTGGCGATAGGGAAGATCTTTGTGGGATGCTGGTGTTGATTTTGTAAGATTTGGAATGGAATCCGTTTATGTCGGTCTCGGTCTCTCGGTATCTGAGGAAACTGGTAACCTAACGTACTATTCTTTTGTCGAATAGCCTCTCCTTACGAAGGTGCTGCGCTCCTAGAGATTGTCGTCGTAGTTCTGTAAGTTTATCTTGAATTGTGATTCGGGAGATGTGCTTAAGAAGCAAAGCGATTAATGAAATCGATACTTGTGGTGCGATAATCGGAATTGTTTAGATGTATATCGTGAGTGTTTGATCTATGTTACCTCAAGAACAATTCCGCTGTAAACTTAAAATTACGTGATTGAAAAAATTGCTAGCTGATTAAACCTGTCCCTTATCTTGGCTCCTAATAGGTTCACGGGTCCGTATACTTACGGGTCCCCTATTAGTTAGTAATATCTACTGTAGCTTGCCGTCTTAGTAGGGGCTGGGGCGGTCTCGTTGGGGATAAGATTTTGTACTCTTTGTGTGGCCTTTTAAATGGTATTTATTATATGTAGGTAGTCGTTTTTCTCCCTTGCTTTCTAACCTGTCTAAAGGCCTATGTTGAGGCTTATTTCGAGGGCCTCGAAGCTCGTTTTGTGTTTGGTCCCGCGCTACTTCCCGCTGCCGATTTTGAGATTTATGAATGTTTAGGAAGTTGAGATCGTTTTGAGACTTGTAGTTGTTTTTAGTGTCGTGGTTGTGTTGAGAGAATCTGGCTTTTTGGTGTTTGAGAAGCTAATTCTCGCTCTAATCTTCTTTGCTTAATACTGAGAATTGGTAACTAGAACGGAATTGATTGTATGAGTAGGTGATTGTTGATCGGGATAAAAATACTAATAATAGCGAGAACGAAATTTTTGAAATCGGAGTAAAAATAGCGCTATAACATACTCCGAAAGGTTAATTAGATAGCCGTGTGCTCGTTATGAAGCTTATAGCGACGCAGGTACTATAGTAACCCCATAGCCCTAGGAGTAAATATGGCTAACGTACTATCGAGAGCACGCTACTTAACTTAGTAAACACCTTTAGATAGTACTTAAATTAATTGATACCGTAAACGAATACCCCCTTAACCCGTAAGTTATAAGAGCTACTCTTATTACTACTATTTCCTTGCTAGCTAAAATATAAAACCTGCCCGAACTCGGATACCTCTACTAAGCTATTGAAAGCTTATGTATAAAAACTAAAATAGCTAATAAGAATACTACCCGTAATATATAAAATATTAGAATTATTATATAGCAGAATACGGTTGAACTTAAAGAAAATACTAATATAACGCGCGCGGCTAACGCGGCTACTAAGGAGGTTTAAAAAGCTAGCGAGTTAGTAGTTAAAGTTATAAAGGATATTAAAGTACTAGAGTTAATAAATTAAGGGAATACTGTGTAGTTATATATTAACGTAGCTACCTAAAGAGGACTTGCGGGGAGTATATATAATCCCTATAACTAGAGACCGTCCTAGACCTAGACTCTGCGTAAGATTATTATGAATATTAAAGACCTTATTACTATTACTAGCTTAAGAGCTATAAACCCTTATAGCTTTAAGGCGTACGTAGACCGCGCTATCGAATAAAGTAGTAATAAGTATATTTATAAGCTTAAGGCCGTGTCTGCTAATTAACTTAAGAGCGGCGACCTAAGTGTTAAGATAGTAACGATAAAAGATATAGAGGTACTCCGGTAGTTTGCTAAGGATTAGGAAAACTATATTAGTAATAGAGCTGCTGTAAGGATCTTAACTTACGGAGTGCTAGTGCACGGTATTAGAACTAGCTCTATAAATATAGACCGCTTTGTAAAAATTAGAGACGACTTATTATAAGATAATAAAGTATTTATTTCTAGAGTAAATATTAAGTACGTAGGCTGGCTAACTTAGTTAGCTAGTAAAAA